GCACGCACATATATACATGAGAATGCCTGTATTCCCCGCGGATGCGCGTTCTCGCGACACCGAGAAAAGGAGGACGTAGACACGAGAGTGCGAGCGAGAGTAGATATTTCTGTGTATATTTTATTGTGCACATATTGCGAACCGTTCTCCGCCAAGCCGCACTGCACACACGAACGCGTGTCAAACTCACACCAACGCAACGTACACGCCTCTCGCTGGAGGCCCCCGGGGGGAGGGGTTGGTGGCGAGGTCGGAAGGGATCGCGACTCGTGGTTGGGCGAGGTCGAGGGAGAGAAAAAGCGAGGAGCGTAGCGTGTGGAGAGGTCGGCGGCGGTGGCGTGGAGAGCTCGATTTCCGGCGGGCACCCTGTTCTATCCTTTTTCGCCCCCGCCTGACACCAACGTCCCATTCGTTCCTCCACTCGTTGCGACGGCCCGGACTCGCCCTCTTTTTTCTCCCTTCTGCCTACGACCAACCACCCCCGCCGCGCACGCCTTCTCCCTTTACCTCCCCTGTCCCCCGCCCACCCCGACTCACGCTTGCTTCCCTCTCAATCACCATCTGCTCCTCCGCCTCCACCTGGCGCGGCCCGACCGATCAAACCAGTGGCACTGCAGACACAATAAAAACGGGAAAAAAAGCGACGGCCGCGCACACATTTCGCGCAGTTACTCTTTTTCTCTCTCTCTCCCTCCCTCTTTTTTTCTCTCCCTCACGAGCAAGAGATGACGAGCTACCGGACGCTTTTGAGAAGTTATTCATGAAGCGCCCAACGAGATTCCTCGAGCGCGTCGCGTATTTTTTTCCTTCCCCCAGACGCAACGCCCAACGTTCTCGATAAAAAATACAGAGGCGTACAATTTTAACGAACGCGCGTTAAACGTTTCATTTTGTTCGACCAGATCTCAAAATCGCTCGACAATTTCCCGCGATCGTCATCGTTATCTCGTTAACGAGTATGAAAAGCGTACGCGTCTCGGATACATCAGGCGAAATCGCGATCGGCCGATCTTTTGTTTTTCCGAGTGAAAGGTGGAGCACGCGCCAAACAAGGGACCGAGCGAGCCGAGCGGGTATTGACCATCCGATATCGATATTTCGCGACGCTTTATCGCGGACGTGCTCGTTAAACCGATAAATGAATAATGAGCGTACTGTATATGGGATGGATATGGAGAGACAACCGGCGGGGGAGACAAGCGCCGGAAGGGGCGGTGATGGGGGGGCGAGATGGAGGGCGCCGCGCGAGGGGGAGCGAACCAGCGAATCGAACAAAACAACGAAATCGAATCACTCGTGGTGGCCGCCCATACTTTTCATGCGTGAATTTTCCGACTGTCCCGACACGTACGTGCAGCTGCGGAATCGCCGGTAATAGCGTTAGTAAAATCGAGAGTAATGCCTGAAAGCGTTTACAATACGCATCGCTTCCTGCAAATAAAAACGTGGGGAACGCGCGCGACCGCGTGGTCATTGGCCGACGATGTACGACGAAACGGGTCAAAATCAAACTATAACCCATCGTGACACGTAACATTCTCGATTCTCCATTGACGGCGCGAAGGACCGAGAGGAACTATGAGAAAAATATGAAAAACGTGACGTTCTCTCTTCCCGGCAATGAGATGTCGATACGTTTAAGCGCTCTCGTATACTATAACCGCTCACGACGTCGATACTTCTGGAAATCGATAATTACTAGGCATATCTATAACATCCGATATTAAATGAGCCACAGTAGCGATTACCTTATTAATTCACGTATTATACGGCCAATCGAAGAACTGCTCGGTCAACGTGGGCGTTTATATAGCCGCGCGATATATCCATAAACTATCCGGCAAGCGTGATTCCGGCTGACAATGATTATCGTACAGGTGTAACAGGAAAACGTAACAGCTCGGTTGCGGTCAGAGACGGCTGACGATGATGACAGTAATTGCCGAGAATTAGCGACGTTAATAACCTCCGGGGGGAACGGAGGAGGAGGGGGAGAGAGAGAGAGAGAGAGGGAGAGGGAGAGGGAAGGGGAGAACGCGGGCGCGTTCACTGCCTGGTGGACACTTGCCGAACCGGTCATCGTCGGCGTTAATGTAACACCCAATAATTCCCGGGCGCCCACGATATTTTGCTCTTTCGCATCGCCGGATCCGTTATTCATTCTCGTTCCGCGCTTTTTCTCCTTTTATTTCCATCGCGCGCGCTCGCGACAACGCCCGGCCTCGTTATAAACGCACACGGGGCTGGCTATTAATCGCGGATACCGGCGTGGCAGGAACGAGCGGTGTCGACGAGGCGGTGGCGCGGCACGGCATTTCGATTTTATAAATATGAGATACCGGATATATATATACGCGCCCCGCGCGCGCGCGCGCGCGCGTGTACGAGCGTGTAAATCGCGCGCGATAATGCCCGACCGATAATATAATAAATCCCCGACGTCCGGCTACCAGAAGCGATAAATCGTAACCGAATTAAAAGTGACAGCAGATAATGATCGTCATTCCGATCCGAGAAAAGTGCGCGAGACCGCCACGTCGTATATTTCAGAGTGCCGCGCCTCGAGTGCTTATCTCGAGGATATCAGGGGCATAAAACGGGGGATACGACACGATCGTATTGCGATTTCCTATCGGAATTTATATTCCATCGCTCCGATACCACATTTCACACGGTACGTATCTCGCGGCTTGTTCCTCCACGTACCTCGGCACGAATGTCCTCGTGAACGGAGTCTTGAAAGAGTTATGCTCTTCATTCAACCTTAATACGTAACTTTTCTACGAGACTTACAGGCGGAAATCCACGTTTCGATCATACAGAAAAATTGCCGTTCCGGTCTCCGCAGAATATAGAATCCTTCCTCTTTTCCATTTGTGTACTCTTTTACATATATTGATATATTTTCTTTTTCCTATTTAATGATATTTTTTCAAACATTACTTTTACTCAATTTCTAATCCTCCACTGACTGAATTGGAGTCTTTAAAGGTATCATCGATATTTTGATTGCGAATTTTGGTAGATAAATTTAAACGTGTATAAAGTATAAATAAAGTACAATTCGACTTCTATCATGGTAAAAATTCATTGCTGAAACTTCGAACAAGTATGCCAAATTTTTTCAGATTTTTATATCTGAATCGATAAAAAAAATTTGCTTCTCGAAGACTCTCATATTACTGACGGAAGAGTTAAAGAAAATGTTCATGTTACACGGAGAAAAAAAAATTGTTCATTTGCTTAAACTAATTTAATTCTTTATTTACTTCCTCGAATGTTGAATATATTTAAGTAAAATATAATGTACATTGCCAGCGGAGGGATAAATAAATAAATAAATGACGTATGTCAAACGTATAGGATGCAAATTTATCGAATAAATAAGTTAAACAAATGCTTTGGATCGCGTAATTGCTGTTCAATTTCTCCAGTCACGTCCTATCTAAAATACTTGCAAACGCGTCAACACGATCTCTCGGTTGAATGCCTTGCTCAGGAAAAGAGATAAGCAAGCTGCTACCTGACTTGCGTCGCTACTGGCACTTCGTGCCGTGTAAGGCAGAGCTGCCATAAGGCGAACGCGAGGTCTTATTCATGATTTGAGGGGCGCATCCTGCCGAAAAAAAGAAGAGGAGACAGAAAGAATAGGCGGGACGCAAAGCGGATGAAGCGGGTGGAGGGCGGGATGAAGGAAATAACGGGCTCAGCTGTTAAATATTCAATAAACGTGAGCATTACTCGTCGCTGCACGCCCACGCCCAAGATAGATTATGGTGGAGTGTCGATGAAGGGGGAACGAGAATATCGAAGTAGGCGAAGAAAGAGGGATCGCCATTTATTCTATGGAATTCGTGATCGAGATTCTTGTTCGATAGCGTGTACAGGATGCCTTCTCTAGGACACTCGAGAGCTACGTCGTCGATATTGCTGGCTTGTCGATAATTCGACGAATTCACTTGTATGTCGGTTTCAAAACGAGATATTTCTCAAACCTTTCGCGAACGGCGGCGGAAAACGATCGAAAATCCATTCCGCGGATAACAACAACAGAAGTATGCGATTCCCCGACGGGATTTCTGTATAAAATTACGTTCAAGAGAACTTGCCCGGGGGCGTTTGACTTCTATCAGACGCGGCCTATAATTAAGAGATGGAGTTCTCTCGTTGTCGATCGATTAACGCGCGTTTCTCCTTTTCCCTCGCGAGTCACGTCGACCCTAATTTATTTCACTGGGTACCACCTTTCTCTCGTCGTAAAAGGAGAGTAGGGATTGCTTCGAAAGAAGATAAAACGCTTTGCGATGCAAACTTACCGCTTACCGTCAATGGATGCACATGCGAGAAAATAAAAAAATTCAAATGATCCGTTCGATATACGATGAATATACAAATGGATACAAAAGGAGCTTACTGAAATCTTTGCAATGGAGTTTCTCGAAATGGATCATCGGTACAAAAATATAATAATAATATATGTAAAAAAATAATACATAGACGTTTAACGATGGTCTATACGAGAAAACAAAATACGAGTATTATTTGATTCGTACGTATTATACGTGCACCGCGAAGAAAGAAGCGTAAAAAGCTCCACGATCTGCCCCGAGTGCTTTCTAAAAGCACGGTAATCTCGGTAGTTCTTAATAAAAGTCTAAAGTCGAGCTAGGTTGCTTTTTTTCATTGCGCAAGGTTTTGCGCAAGAGGCAACACGGGAACTCCGGCCGCGCCGCTATTTGCATGTTATTACCTTGTTTACATATTTATTCAATAGCTAAGATCCCGGAGGGTCGCAAACACCCCGTAATCGGGGCTTTCTCCTCGTGTTCGGCCCTTTAATTTTGGATTAAAGCCCAAAGCTGCGCGCAACGTGCCAACTGAGCGATTAATAAATCACCGCCAACTGACGTCGCGTATCGATCATCGTGAGAGACGATATCGTTCTTTACCGCATTTTCAAGGTACTTGAAATAATGTATGCAAAAACTTGAATCTCTTACCTGTTTGTGCATCTCCACATTAAGCCCGTACGACATCTCGTAATACTGCAAAAGTAAATGAAACAGTCAGATTAGAACGTAATCGCATAAATTACAATGTTAGTATGGAATTAGTACAAGCGTAGTGTTGCATAGCTACGTCGTTATATGCGTTTCGTTAACGAAGCCACGTCGACGTTAAGCGTAAGGTGATGCGTGCGTAAACTAGCAGCGTAACGCCGACTTTCTCATGCAAAAGCTGAACTTTGCCGGAAGGTTGCTCACACGAAATCCAATTTTCGTATTTATGTTACGGCTTTGTCATTTTATCCTATCCCGAAGAAGACGTTACCGTGTAAAATTCCCGTTTATTCTCTCTCTCTCTCTCTCTCTCTAGAAAGCTAAGAGAATTCGATTAAATTTGCACCACGAATATAAGTATTTGCAATACCGATATATAAGTACACGTTCATCGACTTCATCTTTTATTGCGACGAAGAAAAATTACGTCGTAATATACGACGTGTTATTTTTATATACGTATACGTATAACGATATCCGAGTATAAATAATTGAAATTGGCATATAAATATCACATTGAATAAAACGCAAAGCCACTACGCGCGGGATTAATCGAATTATCGAGTTTCGCAAACCAAGATGCTGTTTGAATCCATAATGATGGCTGTGTAGGAAAGGAAACGCCTCGCGGTGGATCCTTAAGGGTCTGCTTCAACGATTGCAGGGTTGAGATTATATCGATCAAATGAGATTACGAGATTACGAAAAGCGGACCAAATTGAGCCGTAATGCGAGGCCGCAGTCAGTCGGTAAGAGGGATAAGCGCGTCGAGAAAATGAGAAAAACGAAGAAGAACGAAGAAGTAGAGAGGATGAGAAAGGAGCGCGGCCCTCTCTCGTCTCCTTCACCCCCAAGGAGAGGCGAGAGAGAGAAAAGGCTTGTACGTGCGCTCGCGCGCGCGTATGCGTGTCGACCAAAGACCGGTTTCTCGTAACATCGTTTCTACATCGTGTGTACAAGAGACTCAGCCGGGGCTGGCTTTAACTAATTCGCTTACTGAACAGCGGTTCTCATTTCGCACGCATGAGATTTCTGATCGTAAAGACTCCGTGCGACAAAATACCGCGCACATATTTATCGTAAACTGTTGCTGTATAGCGATGGTTTACAAGCGTTTCCGTTCCCCGAGAGTACATATTCCGTACCGACGCAATACCAACAGACGGTGGAAGGGTAGAGGGTATAACGACGAGATCGCCAAAGAGGAAAAGAGAGAAAATCCGGCAGTTCGCGATTTTAACGAGCGTCTTGAATATAGTCGCCGCATTATTCCCCGACGGAATCAACGACCGTTGTGAAACGGGCTTTATTGCTCGGTGATCGTAAAGAGCGTACTAAACCGCGTTTTAATATATCGGTGCGGCTACGACACAGTCGGTTTAAAGTTTTTCCCGCGTACATACGAGGGGAATGTAGCGTAATAAACGTCGAGACGAGGTCGAAGAAGACAGTCTCGCGCTTTCGAATGCAATGCTCTCGATGTTACGATTTTAACGACACCGGTAATATTTATTTCGCAATGTGATAGAATTACCGTTAATACTTCAAACGTGGGCAAATTCGTCTGGATGAATATTTTACGAATCTGCTTCGGACAGGCCGCGATTAATTAAACCCGTTTGTTTTAATAATTCGATATTCATTCGGCGCGGTTTATCTTCGAAATTACGATTATTTTGTAAATTGCGAACGCTACAATGTATATATAGAAAATATAAATGTAGAAATTTGGCCTCGTGCACGCTCTGCTTTTAAATATAAATTAATCCGCCCATATTTTTATTACATTCGCGCTCGCGAGCATTATCAATAAATCGCGAAATGTATATTTCAATCGGCTCTGTTCTTGCGAAAATAATAATTTCGCTGAAAGCTCGTAGCTTATGTTAACATATAGTGAAATCTAATTATATTTAAATACATCAACTTTATTATAAAACGTCGAGAACAAAATAAAAAAAAAAAGCAATTAAAAATTTATCAATGACATATATTTTGTTTTTTTTTTATTATCGAATTTTTTTTAATAGAACTTATCGAGGAGAACTAATTATAAATCATTATAAAAATTTACTATCTAAAATATGCTGGGTAAAAGATTTCTCTCTTCCTCGTGCATTTGATGGATTTGAGGATGGAAAGAGAAAGAGACAGTTAAGAAGTGCAGCTACACGAAGATCGTCTCGCCGCTGAAGATCCCAACGAAGCAATTGGTCTTTAATTAATAGACTTCACTAACGGAGGGAGACTGTTGGAGACGGGAGATCAGGATCTTAATTATCACGAGACTGGAAACGCCACTCTCGCGGTCGAGATGTCTAATACGAGTGAAGGAATACTGTGAAGGAATACGGCAACAGTCAGTTACGATAATGGAATGAAGCCACTCGTAAACTCGATACGACGTGATTACGAATACTTTATAGAATCAATATTTTACAGTTGCAATCGCGCCATTTTTTATATTAACAATTAAGAGGAATTCGATACTATTTCGACATTTGTCTTTTCTCGTTTGAAAATAATTCGAGTTTTTATCTACGTTCGTGTAAAATCTTCTCTTTCGAGAAACAGTTCGATAGAAGATTTAGGTTGAATTATTAGCTGAAACTCCTCGACTTACTCCGTGGATAGTCACCTCTAATCGTGACCGATCGAATCGCGAAAACGACTCTAGGACGGCGCAATCTCTTTTCAATTCACGAGCAGCCGAACGATATCGATCATGATCGGTATCTACCCCACGAACATGTTGGTTCGTCCCCTCTCGCGTTAGAGAAAGATAAAAAGACTCTTATCATGCCTTTCATCGTCTTCCAATGAAAATCGTTCCTGAACGTACTCTTTAGACGATGACGATGTTTCTGGTTCGTGTACGATTTGCAAATTTCGTCCTTGTTGCAATCTCATTACTTCGCGGTCGAATCGGCTTAATCAAGAACATACCACAGCCTACAACTGCAATGGTTTGCATTTTCGCTCGTATATTCGTGCTACGAAATGACTCAGCAAATCAAGCCTCGACGTATCGCATATCAGGTTTGTCGCAAATTCCTCATCCTAAAATTTTATAACTTATCCTTTTATACTGATTTTCAAATCAAACTTAATAATTTTCCCTGACTTTCAATAATATTTGGAAATTTTATTGTACATATTTTCATCCCGATTTGGATGAAAATCCCATTAAATATTTTATTGAGATTAATTTAACATAGCAATATAAATTACTATTAACGTTGCTTGCATTTTTAATTGTTAAGTTGATAGTATTTCAAAATTACTTACTGCGTATATGTATGTATATATATATATTAAACTTTTTTAAAGCCAAAAATTTTTATTTTCGAGAAAATTTTTCAAAACATTCTTTGACCGTTTCCCTATCAATTCCTTGATTTCCAGTTTCGTGGCAACTCCGACTACGGGAATTAATTCTCTTACAAACGCGTTGTTACCTCCAACATTATTTTCGTATTAAATAGGAACGTTTTAAAATCTCACTCACCCAACGAAAGTATCGCGCGTAGTTACAGTTTCGCAAGCGGAAATATGAAGCGGAGGACATACGCTAAATGTATCGAGTGGCATTGCGAGCGTGACGAACGAAGTGGTTCGCGGCCGATCTCTCCCGCCACGCTCGCGGTTCGCGCGCTCGTAAAAGAGTTCACGAGCTCGACAATTACATGAAAGAGTCGTAAAGGCGTAACGCCCCGTGGCCGGGGCTACACCCGTCGTGGTATAACGACGTCGTATCGGAGATCCGACGGCTCGCACGAACGTATATACGCGATGGCCTCCATCGATAACGAGTCCCGGGAGATTCGCCGGCTGGCTCTGCCAGTAAACGCTGCCTCGCGATGTCACGTGGAAAATTTGAGGGAGGCAAGATACGAGGACCCAGCTTTATACGTTACACCCCCGTGTCGATGTGTGCGAGAGATATCCCGTGTTACTGTACCGGTATATAAATGGAACGCGGCAGTTCCATCCGGACATGGAGCCATCGTAATTCGGGGAAAACGACGGTGTTGTCCGTCGCAGGAAAGCAAACTGCGGTGATTATCGTAGCAAGACCATGACGCGCGACAACGTCGCGATACTTTATTCGATGCTCGCAATTCATCGACGATGAGGACGACAAAGCATCTGGGCGACGCACCGCGAGACTACGATTGCACCCGTAGGAATCAATGACTCCGCTCGATACGAACACGGACGTGTTTAGCCGAGAGACGTGAGTACCTGTTGCTAACGCCGACCTAAACCCGATACTACGATAAATTCTTGTTACGTCGGTAATCAATCATCAATGATAAAACGACGCGATAGGACGATAGCGCAATAAATATGCTTTCGTGCTCGCCGATCGAAATTTGATTAAGTGCATTCCGTGGTTTCGCTATGTTTCGCGCCGACGTTCGTTACCGCGCAACTGGCAGAACAATAAGCGCTCCCCGTGCCATATCGAAACGAAAGTGGAATAAAGTATGATGTGTACAATACATTTAAACCTGTCGCATGCGTGAGCCGCGTGAGCCGCGTGAGTCGCAGGCCGACCGATCGATACAAACGTACGGAACAAAGGATCGAGGAGCGCGAAGATCGATGGAAGATCGATCGTTTGAGAGAGTAAGAGCGACATACCTGGGACGCGCGAGATAAGCGCGTTCTCGCACGACGTACACGCTATGTACCTAACGTGAGACGATCGCGCCGGCGATTAATCTTCGCGCCGGCGTGAATCGGCGGAAGTGCCACGTCCACGCGAGAGCGAGCGCCGCGCATTTTATATGAAGTTATTTGCATCGACCGAGACTACGCGCGGACTACGGCCTATAAATTATCGCCGGCCTATAATGCACGCTTCGCGAACTTTGGGCAACGAACTTAGCGGACCGCGAACTTACGGCGCGGCGTGCGAATCACGCCGCTATCAAGATCTCTCTCGAATAAACTTCCAGTCGATTTAGCACGACGAATATCTTCGCGGTAAATTTACAAATCGAGGAAGTGTCGGTGCCTCGATCTAAAAAAGATTTGGATCTACGCTTCTCTGGGGAGTGCTTATCGCATCTAGACGATATACCTGGAAATTATCACGTTACGTGTGAAGATATTTCAGGATGGATAAACGAAAAGAATGGAGATCCACCGAGACGTCGGTACAACTGGCGTAAAATTAAAAACCGGTACTCTCAGCGACCTTCGACCTCCCATGAAGAAAGCGGTGCGCGCCTCTTTACGCTTCACACGGCTTAATGAAGATGCATACACTGGCGCAGTCGACGGTGAATCGCGATAACGAAGATCTACGGGCGAAAGTAAGCCGAGACTTTCGCGGCGTCTACATGTACTCTCGCGGGACAAAGCCGAAAAACAAAACTGAAAGAGGAGCCGCGAAGAAGCAACGCACGGCGACGTGTATGACGTGACCCTAAATTATTTCGCCATTCCATTCCATGTCGCAAGACAAATATTTTTTTATCGTAAATCGTACCTCTAGAGATACGTTATACGTACTTTAATTTTTATTCTTTATTGTATTTTAATTTTAATGTAAACGAGGACAAATGCGCGAGAAATAAAATTTATAATTTCGATATACTTCAGCATTACATCGTGGTGCAAATTTGACGAGCGAGCTTAAAACGTCAAATGTTCCCTGCAGTCCGCAACGGTTTAGTCAAGAGGGAGCGCAAAGCTAAATGCAAACCTAAATTTTTCGAGGACTCGTCTCTAGACGCGAAATAAGAAAAGCACTTTGCGTTTAATACGATTACTACCGATATAGGTCCTGCGATAGGTTTCGTAAGCTTGTGTGGACTCACCATGACGTAGTGGCGCTGCATCTCCGTCTTCTCCTGGGCGAGTTTCTCCAGCTCCAACTTAATACTGGACAGAACAAGCAGGAAATCGCACGTGTAAGCTAAACATTAGTAAGTGCAGGCGACATTCAAAAGCTGTGGGGACAAAATAAAGATAGGGGGGGGGGGGCGCCTCTCTTTCGCATGACCAGGGAAGAATCTCGTGGCGCGTTTTGGCTAACAATAGAGAATAATAATGCCGCTAAAACGAGATTATCGAGTCGTCAACGAGTCGAGGGTCTGTGACTTGGGCTCCGTGGTAAACGAGGGATGCGATATAATGTGCGGAATGCGAACATTGTTCAATCGTATAACGATTCATTAATTTGCTCCCGGATTTTTCCGCGTGTATATATTTTTTTTTAACCTTCCGAACCGGTTCGTTCTTTTTATCACGCCCCCAAATTGAGGGATATTGCGGAGGGGTGGTGCACAGCCAAGCCATTAAAAACACACAATTAGTGCAGCCGCAACAAACATTGATAATAATTGTTATATACTGGCCATCGTGTGTACATGTATATGTGTTTTAACATTGTGTGTGAGTTTCGTGTTTACCAAGTGGACCGTGGAGAATATTGGAAGCGTCGCGATTGCGAGCGAATAATTCATAAAAACGCATTCGTGGAATTTACATCGCGTTCAATTAACAAGGAAATCGTATGCAAATACAAACAATCGCAAACGCGTTAGGTAGGTACTACTTGTCGTTAAATATTAAATAACAAAACTGTTCATTATCGAGAACGATAAATTAATCATTTTATGGGAAAAAAAAAACATGTAATCGTCAGAAAATGTATTTTCGAGCACTTTGCCTCGTTCAAAAAGAAAGTTAATAGAAAATCAATACGAGAGAATCGGCGCGGCAGTGCGCAGGTTCATTAAGAGTTAATCCTCGTCGCGTCGCGCTTTTCCCCGACGCGTTAAAGCGCATATTAATATTCACTTGGTCGGTCCACCATGTTACCCGACAGCGACATCAGAGAGCGGGACAAAGGCGCCCCGTTCGCGATGGCGATAACTTTTTTAACGACGACAAGCCCGCGCCATATTTTTGTTTAGCGCGGCGCGGCGGCGCGGCGCTTCGGGGGTGCAGGAAAATAATCTTGCGGTGGCGGCGGTCGACAAAACCGCTTGTACCGCGGCAAATGAATGCGTTCGTATGTGCCTGTAACGCTCGAGTTGCATCGCGACCGCCGTCGTTGCTGCTGCTGCTGCTGCTGCTGCTGCTGCTGCTGTTGCTGTTGCTGTTGCCGCTGTCGTTGCTCCATGACTGTATACCTACGATAACGAGTATGGGGGTGCGTCGCATCGTGTCTCTCTGTGATTCGTGTTTCTCCCCATGTTCCCAGCACTTTTGATGTGCGACGCCAATGCTCGTGACGATAATTTTCCCCGAGTTCTTTTTTTGTCTGTTTCTCTCTTTCTCTCTCTCTCTCTCTCTCTCCCGTTCATCCAATCTCTCTGAAATTATACCTCTGACATTTCTTTGAAGATCCGTGTACCATTTTCCTTTTAATTGCACTCCCACGTATAATATAAAAGCGTTACAGTCGCGCTGCCGCGCATATCGAAAATTCATTTCAGTAAAATCAAATCGGTTTTTTAATAATTTCCCTCCCTTTTTTTTTTTTTTAGGTTCTTCTCAATTTCGCGAGAATTGAAACAGCTCGACCGCGACCGAGCGATATCTCCCGAATTCAAGCGCGACGAAAACGAATGCATTTTAATCTGGGAACAACGGCAGGATGATTCGTATATGGCTTTGTGTGCATGTGCGTATATGTGACGTGTATGTATGAGTAATACGCGCTGCCCCCTTTCTACGTTTTTATCCTTTTCCCGGCTTACCATCACGTAATGCCTCTGTATCTCTATTTTTTCACTGGCCAGTTTCTCGCACTCCAATTTAAGGCTGTGTAAGAAGAACAAGAACAGAGCATTAATATCCACCAGCCCTCGAAATCGTCGGAGCCATTGTCCCTCCGCTCGTCGTTCTTCGTCGCGACATTAAGTTGAAAACGCGCCGTATAACACGCGCCATATATCGCGAATGAGAGAAAATAAAGAACTGTAAAAGCTTCAACGATAACGAACGGAGTAAAAATGGTTTATTTCGTCGTCATCGAGTTTTCAGCGCGGAGGCGTAATAATAAAGTTACAGTTTCTCGAATACAACTAAATTTTCTTTCTTTCTTTCTTTCTTTCTTTTTTTTTTTTTGGTTTTTTTCAAGAGGGGAATTTAGAAGCCTCGCGTAACGGGACGCGAAGCGATTTTAATTCGGTTCGAGGAAATGATAGAATGCACACGGTAATTCCGACGCGGCGTTTAATATTCGTGAAAGGCGAATCGCGCTATACGTTGCGCGGCGTAATCTCACCTATAAGGCGATAAATTAGCACGGTATTAACGATCATGCTCGCGCGAGCGGCAACTCTCGTTACGCAAACGGCAATGCTCGTACGGTCAGAAAGTCGATTAATTATTTCAGATTGACGCCGTGCCAACGATTTACGGGACGATTTATCGAGAATCACGTTGCGCGCTTGAATGCGCGCGCCTACTAACACGTGGCCGAGATAGCTCTCTGTTTCGGTCGGGATGCATTTTTGCCTTTCCGTGATTAATATCTCAATTCACGAAATTTATGAATGTTGTTCTCATCGCGGTATTTCTAAACGCGAGATAAAATTTATTCGCTTAAAACGTGCCCGATATCATCGCGTCATTATCGTAATTATTTTTCTCTTGTTGTCAGCACTCTGTGCTATTATGCTATATTTAACTTTCGTAACGTGAAAAAGGGGGAAGGGGAGAGGAATACCGATGCTCTTTCTGCAATCCCGGAACACTGTGAATTTAACGTATCAATAAATAGAGAAACGTGAATTTGCACTGAGAAAAAAGTTGTAGTAATGATAACAAAAAAAGAGAATTATTCACAAACGGATTATCAATTTTGTTAAAATAGCAAATATATTTTGTTAGATGAGCAAAATTATATGAATCTTTTTCATTTAACAATACAATTTTATTTGGTTACTCACGTTTTGTAAATAATAATATAAAATATTAAGTTGAAATTTTCAATTTTCTTTCAATAATTACAAAAAAATAATTTATTATGATAAAATGAGGAATGTTTCGCGGAGCTTTCAGAGATGGCGTGTCTTCTCGTAAGAGAAATTCGACGTCCTATAAAACGGAATTAGAGTACACGTTTCGTGTACTTCTCGCCACATTAAGGCAACATTTCTTTTTCAAGGCAATTAATAATCAATCGATCTTGATATGTCTCTACATATCTTTGTCAAGCCAGAAACGTTCAAAAACGCTAAACATAATTTCACTCTGTATACAAAGAATAAGAGATACATACTATTCCCGTGTAATTATTTTGTTCAGATAACAAAATATTCTGTTTTTAACTATAAAACATCTCTGAGCATCATACAAAACAGTTTTTATCATTAAATCATCAGTGTATTTATTTAAATTAGTAAATTCAACAAATTAATATCCGCGACATAACCAACAATTTACAAATGGTCACATATCAACAAAAAAATAGTTCTTGCAATAACAAAACTGTTGTTATTCTATATACCAAACATTTCTTTCAGTGCAACGATCGAAGAAACTAATCACGCCCCAGCGAGTTTTTCGCTTCCGAGAATCTGCCAAAGAGCGTGATCTCTGAGGAAACCCTTTTTACTGCCGATCGCAGATACTGCTTACTACGTGCACGCATGCACATAGGTGCGCTGTCCAAATGGGGTCTTCGCTCCTTCTCCAGACCGTGCGCATACTTCGGTGTACACAGCTTCCGGTTGGACAATCAATTATCTGCCTACGTCCGTACTACGTGCGTTTCGCGTGCGCGCCCACGCGGTATTTGCACGAGCGCCTAATGGATACGACCCTATGGTGTCCACGGACGCGAACGTTTACTCCGTTCGACAAACTACTGACCGCTGAACGGAATTTGCATCACGCTTAAACCATCCGCGGGAAAATATGTATTTTTTTTTTATCGAGAAATATGGGAATCGGACAATTTTCCTTTATATAAAAAAAAAACGCGGTTGAGATCGCGTAAAGCTTTGGGACAAATTGTATCAATATCAATTTTTTACAAAGGTACTTCATTGCTACTTTAATAACCAGAATAAAAAAATATGTGTCGTCAATTTAAAAAAATTGTATAAATATTAATATCGCTGACAGACAATGAAGATGTAAGTTTATAGAGTTTAACTCGCGTGATTAATACAAATTGCCGGGATTGTCGAAAACAAATGTGATAAATTGATCGTATTGATATTGATCTTTATTTATAGTAACGAAATCCGTACATCTTCAATTGACTGCAATCGATGAGAATACGTTTGTGCGAAATGAAGAAAGATACCTGTGGTATTGAGCCTGTAAAAAGTTGAATTCCTCCTTGATACGATCGCAGGATTCGCCGACCGAAAATTTGAACGGCTGTCCAGGCTGCGGTGGACCCTGCAACACAAAAACGCCATTAAATGTATCGATGTACCACAATCCCTTAACGCCATTAAAGCCCATAAGACCCTGAGATTTATTCGAGAGACTCTACGCTGTTCCACAGACTCACAAGTAACTCGAAATCGATACATAGAGTCGGATAAAAAAATGTTGCTACTTAGGTAGACGTACCTAAACTTCACAACAGAAAAACCGCTTCGTTAATTAATGCTTTTCTTAAATTTTAATATAATCTCTCTGTTCTTCGTGACTGTATATTTATAATACTTTTTATTTTTCTTATCATAAAAATTATTGTTGAATTTTGATGATTTCTAGAATTCCATTCACGAGTTTTCCACAAGTCAACGATTGGCGGTGAAATAATCTTCGAATATATGTATTTCAAACTATTCCACAACTTCAACGCAGAATCATAGTAATATAGATCGGTTTAAAGTTTAACTAGTTTAGTAATTCACGTATATCTCATTTTGATTCAGATTTCATTGCATTACACGTACTAAGTACAATGTAATAATAAATATAAATACAAGATAATGCGCTAAACTAATTTTGTTAGATTTTCACTTGAAAAAAAAAATATTTGGAACTGCCTTGTTATTATTCGATTAAAGTGATTGACTATTGACGCCTGAAACTTAAGGAAATCAAACTTATAATCAACTGCAAGAACAGAAACAATCACAAAAAATGCCATATTCGGCCTTCGTGCTTAATAGTATTTATTATTTGGAATTTATACAATTTCCAGTTCAAGCAAGCTATGCACCAATTATTTGTCGGTCTTGAAACAGAAATAGAAACAATTTTAATAATTTAAACCGGTTTATCACGTTACGAATAATTCTTAATTAGATTTCTACTCCTCAAGTATATTTTTACATTTATGCCAATTAATTAGATATTACATAATGGACTATTTTTGCAAAACGTGCTGTAGCAAACGCCGAGTTACTTTGGTGGTTGCAGTATCAGCATCCACGAGCGTAAAAGCCACATTATTGCCGGTAGTACCGGTGCTACCCGCCTCCGTATACCTGTTGGTAATAACGTTACGAGCATGTTATCGATCGTTTTGCACGTCGTGCCCTGCAAAACGGATACGCCACTATGGCCTCGTAAAAGCCGGAATATAGTTCCCTCTCCCTTTCTCTCTTTTCCCCCGTCCAATTTTCCCGTGTCGTACGATCTAGATTCCGCAGCGAACGGAGTACATATGCCGGAATCGCGATGTTTCATGTGAGGGGTCGCTAATGATTCGCTGGCGATCGCGATCGCGTAATGAAAATCGTGCCAAAACTCGTAAAATAAAGATCAACTTTCAGGCGCGTTACTGCACTAATGAGTCACACGTGATACCGTACCCGGTCACTATATACAGTGGCCAAAAGTTTCCGACCAGTGACATTTTGTATTCTAGTTTATAAAAAAAAAACCTGATAAAATTTTAACCATTATCGGGGATCGATACAAGATGTGGATAACGAAATCTTGTACTGATATCTGACAATGATTAAAATTTTATCGGGCTTTTCTTTATAAATTAGAGTACAAAATGTCACTGGCCGGAAACTTTTGCACGCCGCTGTATCACGGTTAGCTTTCTCTGGTTTAAAAATCGGAGATTTTTAAAAACCGGACTCAATATATCATTATTTTAAAGCAATGGAGTTGAACAGTTCAAATTGGGTTGAATTTAACATTATATGGTATCAATTTGACACTAAATAGTGTCAAATTTATCTATTGTTTTAGTATACAATAACAATGTATTGAGTAGGAGCAGTGGCGACTTAAATCAGATTAAATTTAACGCTACAGATTCAACAGCGTAGTACACACGATTGGGTCATCCGTGTCTTGCGCTTTTTTTTTCTTCGAAAAGGAGCCTCAAGTAATTAGTTATCATATTTATATATTAGGTGTTGGAATTAATTCGTAGCGTTTTTAATGAAAGAATGTTATTTATTTCACATGAGCATTACAAAATACATTAATGAAAGTACTTCCCATCACTTGTAAAACGCTACGAATTAATTCCAACACCTAATATAATTTTGTTAATTACACAACTTCATAAATACTTCCTAAATTAAAAAATGTTAAAGTACATGTAAGAATTACTTAACAATTATTTAATTTGTGTTAAAATGACGAAAATTAACCCGGGACACGAAAGACCCAGGGTGTAGTAAAAAACTGAAAAATCATATGTACTAAGGTTAAAAGTCCGTTATTGTCTTGTTAAAATCTCTTATGTTTTATAACACGCCTTATTTTACTGAAAAGTGAAAATGATATTTCCAAGAGAAGATACGCGACGTAGATCAACGTATCTTAACATGTGGTAGTTTTAAAAAATTTAAGCCTCGTAGCTACTCGTAGTCACTGTAGCATGTTTTATTAATCTTCACGGCTTCGCAAAAGGCTTCTCTACCCGTTACATTATCGCACGTATATGTTCGAATTACGTTGGAGGATTTGTGCGCCAGGCGTGCAATATATTTAAACGGCTCAAGCTCGAAATCGGCAGAGTTGTACCAGACAACATTGCATATCTCGCTCGCTGACTTGTTATTTGCGGATGTATATACGCTTGTACACAGAAGCTCATCTTTCGCAAGTGACTTTTAAATGCGACGTAATACGAGTAGATTCTGTTGGAGCGGAGTTAATGCAAATTGGCTAACAGCTGATCGTAACGGAATCGCTGATCCGATTTGTATGCGACAAGTCACGACGGTCAATCCAATTAATTTATCAGCTTTCGCTCTGTGGAACAGAACAGTAGGCGTCAGCTACGTGCTGCTTGGCATTTTCCAGTAGCTCCATTTTATAGATCGATAAGGCAAGAATGTCGGTCTATCGAAATACCAACGCCACGCCACGCCATATATAAAACAGATTCATATTTATAAAGCCTCACCGCATGCATAATTATTATAAATTATGCTTACTGATAAAGTCAAAACACATTTACTTGATAAACATGGAAATATCGAACGTAATATATTATGATATTACAAATGTCAAAAGCACAACAGGATCTTGCCGATATTTTCTTAAAATATTCATCGATTTTAACACTCATCGAATGGATGGAATGACGCTAGTGATAGTCTTTCGAGTTTCGCATGAATGAGCGAGACGGAGAAGCAACGCACTGTCGAACGACACGGTTAGAGTCCGTCGAAAAGCGAAGCGCGCGCGAATTATGTCGTTTCGACGAATAATAATGAGAGAACGTAGCCGTCGCGTACGTCAATCAGTGTCCTTTACGTGCCGTGGCCGATTTAATTATCCGATAGCCTCCTCTCTCCCGCATCATCATTCGGTCCCTCTTTCCACGCCGCGCTTTTTATTCCGCGCGATCGAGAGCCATCGCAATAGCGTGCGCGCGTTCGCGCCGGGACGGTATTCAAATAGCGCGTTATCGGCTCGACAACCCCCGTGAAAACGATAGCCGGGGCCGGATAACGACGAACAAGAATTGGCATTAAAGCGCAACGATCGGCACGATCGCGCTTTTATTGCTTTTCGAGTCTCGCGCGACATTTAATACATCCCGGCAGATACCGGATTACCGTTTCGCAGTATATTATCGCGGACAACTCAATGAAGCGAGGAGGCCGCTCAATGGACGTTCGTTAAAGCCGACGACGGGGCGACGTCGTCGTTTACAGTCACTCTCTCTTCGCTCATCAAAGAGCGAGAGCGAGAGAGGAGAGGAGAGGAGAGGAGAGGAGAGGAGAGGAGAGGAGAGGAGAGGAGACGACAAGTCGACCACGCCGTGTTATGTCCTAACGCTAACAGCAACTGGACCAATCAGTTGCGTTTGCAGCCACTCAAGTACGCTTAAGTGGCGCGTATCGCTGCGTCTAATTACGTTAGCTCCATCGATCCCGCCGTCCGTCATCCACTAGATGCCTGATTATCGACACGTATTATCGAACAGGTTAACTGCTCTCTACGATGTCCCCGCCTGTGATCAAGTCCGTAACCAAACACGAGGCACGCGCGCGCTCAAGTGCCAAGAACATTTGCTCATCTCGAGCTACGGTAAACGGGCACATTAGGGCCCACATTAGGGTCGCGTCTAAAATGGAAATACCGCTGGAACGATCAGATATATTATCTAGATATACATATATTGCGCTTTTGAACGTTACAAATTCATTCTCGTTCCAAAGAATGCTGCACAATCTGTCAACTTTTAAGTAGGTAGATGAAGTGCTCAAATAAACATCCTAAAAACATATTATTTTTATATATGGAAAAATAATGATTTTGCTGAAGTATCTAAAAATTTATCTACAAAGCTGAAAATAATTTCGGCCCATTCAAGTTAATTAGGTAGGTACGTAGGAATCTCAAACATGATGAACAATGTTGCAAAAAGTTTTGATATTCTAGCAACCAATTTAAGCATTCCATATACATAATTACTTTGATGTATTTTCAGATCCGTGTAGTCCAGCTAAATTTTTAAATATTTTAGCAAAACCGATCTTTCCGTGTATTTTTAACAGCATGTATAGAGTTAAATTTACATTATTTACATTATCCAGCTTGTGAGATGGAAGAATATAAAAATTTTGTGAACTTTAAAAACTTCGAGGCAATCTATTTTTTATCACGTGTGAGATGTTATGGTTATATCTACCTATTAAAAGTTGGTGATTAAAAATTTAGATATATTTCAATTTATTTCAACTTTCTCGTTAAAAAGAATAAAACTGCTATTAAAGGATTTTACTCGTAAGGATGTAACTTGTGAGAAGTAATAAAATTCCTTTTGACACAGATGAGAGAAATAGCTCTATCGGAGCACCCGATATACCACGCTAATCAAAGAGACGGTAGTCTCGGGAGTTAGTGGCGCCGTGAGCACTAGTCCGCTTTACTTAGAGGCTCTCGTGAGAAACTCGCTAAACCATGGTGGGATTACGCGAAAGGACGACGCAAACAGGGAGAACGGCCGGGAAGAGCTT